ACTCCTCCAACAGCTAGCCTTAAGTCTCTCAAGCCCTGATGGACAGGACCTTACACTGTGATCCTCGCCACCCCTTCAGCTGCCAGGCTCCTGGGACATCCATGCTGGTACCATCACTGCAGGCTCAAGTGGGCACCTATTCAGGATATATGGTCTGTCTAGCAGCCAGGACCCTCCACCCTCTGGTTTTCCAAGGTGTCCTGATGAAGGGTCCATGTGATCACTCTTACCATGGATAGCAGCCGGTTCATAAGGCAGGTGTTAATAATCTATTTTTTTCCCTAGTAACTTGCCTCCTCTGCTTCCTCAAGAAACAGATGCCTGAGGTCTCCAGGATGGCAGTTAACTAGACGATTCTTCACCTACACCTCCCACTGAGTGTGAGCCCACCAACTCCCGACTCCCCCTCCCCATGTTGTCCCATGCCTACAGGAAGTAGCTAGATAGGAGGCTTCCATATCCCCAAAGAGTCTGGGATGTTCAGACTCCACCTCAGTCCCCCAACCTTTCTCTCTCCAAACCCTGCCTCATCTCAGAAGACCTGCCAAACGGTGGCTCCCCCACCCCCAGAGATGCATAAGACCACTTCAAACTGTTCCCCAGAGAACAGACATGTGGTTTTTCCATCTCTTCTCCCTGTCTCCTATTTGGGGGGGTCAGAAAATCATCTGGGAGCATTTTACTCATTAACCCTGGACTTTTTCTTAATTCGGTTTGATTTGGATTCCTGCAGCAGCAGAGAGGCTCAATATCGGGGTACAGAAACTTACTGCCCGCCATTGCCGTGAGTCATGGAAATCCTTTGGTCGTGGTTCCACAGGACCAGTCCCTTCACACACTTCAGCAGGTCATGAATGGGGTAGAGGCTGGGGTGGGCCAACTCTAACCCTGGATTTGGGTCTGAGTGGTAGCTGATTTAGTCTGTCCAGGCCACTGGGGCTGCCCTCCTCAGGCAAGGGGGCGGAGCCAGCTCTTCTATGTCCATACCACACTTGTGGTGAGGTGTGGGACCATTGCTTCCAAGTGACAGCTGGAAACAGCCTCTCCTGGCCAGTGACTAGCAGGGCCAGCTCTCCCAGGGACAGCATAGGGTGGTGCCTGCTCAGTACAGCCCTCGAATTTCAATCTGCATGGCTCCTATGGTCCCTTGTGGTATCTTGGGCCATGGATATCAGCACAGACCCCAGCTATGGCAGGACTACAGGCCTAGACACGGCCCTTGGCAGCAGCCTGGCTCCAGATGTCACCATCACCCTGGGTGGCAGCACAGGCCACTTAGATCAGCCTGGCCCCAGTGGCAGTGTGGCTCTTGGATACCAACATGAACTCAGGTGAGTGTCCAGGCTCCGGGCATCTGCTTGGTCTCCAGTGGTTAACTGAAGCCATGGATGTCAACACAGTCCCTGGCTGCTGTAGGAGCACAGACCCTGACATGGCCCTGGGTGGCAAGCACACCACCCACATCAGCCTGTCCCTCTCCACCTTTGCTCCGTCAGTTCCAGCTCTTACCACGGCACATGGACTGGACTTTGCTCCTTTCTTCCCGCTTTGCCACCATAATTCACTAATCATAATGGCGTCTAATCCCCCAGCGTCACTGGGCCCAGGGATGTTTTTAGTCAGCCTGGGGTCATCACTATAGATTTTTTTTTTAAACACAGGCTTTCAAGTAAACCAGGATGGTTTCAACTTGCACGTAGCTGAGGGCCAACTTGAACTCCTGATCCTACTGCCCTCACCCTTTAAGTGCTGGAATCACAGGTGTGTGCTCCACACCTGGCTCATTTGTTCCTCACCACGCTAAGCAAGGTCACGGTACTGCCAGGGCTCTTGCCATTACAGAACAAGATGACCTTTCCTCCGGTTTCCAGGGATACCTCCCTTAAATTCTAAACTGAGAGCTCCCAGCATCTCTGGTTTCTAATAGTCTCCTATGTGCCTTTTAGGTTTGAGAGGGCATCATCCTTGAGGCTGGCCTTCCAATGTCTGCTACCTGATACCAAAGCCTTACGCCTTTTCTTTTCTTTTTTTTTTTTTTAAAGATTTATTTTATGCATATGAGTGCTCTATTGATTTTATGCCAAAAGAGGCATCAGATCTCACTATAGATGGTTGTGAGCCACCATGTGGGTGCTGGAAATTGAACTCAGGACCTCTGGAAGAGCACTGGCTGCTCTTAACCTCTGAGCCATCTCTCCAGCCCCGAGTCTACTGCTCTTATATGTGATTATATAAAAAAAATCTAAAGCCAAGTGTCTTAAGTCAGCAACATCCTGTGTTCCTGTGTGCGCCTGCATACAGGTGCCTGTGGGGCAAGAGGTTAATGCTGGATGTCTTCCTCAATCAATTCCACCTCGTTCTCAGAGGCAGGGTTTGCTCGATGAATCTGGAACTCACCTATTAGGTTAGGCTGGTTGACTAGTGAGCCTGGGATCTGTCTCTGGTTCCCTGGCACTGTGATTACAAGTGTGCACCATTACATCCAGTTGTTATGTGGGTGGAGGACAGAATTCAGGCCTGAATGCTTGTATTCCAAGGACTTAACTGAGAACTACCCCACCCTACCCCAATCCTGACCTTTGTGTGTGTGTGTGTGTGTGTGTGTGTGTGTGTGTGTGTGTGTGTGTGTGTAAGGGCTCACTGTGTAGGTCTGGCTGGCTGGTTTCAAACTCAGAGATCAGCCTGCTTTTTTATTGTTTGTTCATTTTCTTTCATTGTGTGTGTTTTGAAACAAGGTTTTGCTATGTAGCCCTGGTTGATCTGGAACTCACTATGCATCAAGTTGCCTTGGAACTGGCAGTAATCCTTCCACATCAGCCTATCAAGTGCTGAAGTTACAAGTATGTGCTACCATGTCTGGCTAGTTCTTTTTCTACTTCACCGCTTTAATATAAAATCTGGCTTGGGGTCATTAGGTGGAATAGTTCAGGTCTGGGGCAGGAAAAGGAGCAGAGTATGAAGGAAAGCAGCAGTAGCCAGGCTGCTTGAGAGGCAGCCACTTCGTTATCTACATAGATGTTCGGGTCCCTCATATTAGTTGTCTTGGTTTCTCAAGTTATTCATAGTAATCAGGTTATAATGGGTTTACGTCTGAACTCCATCTCCCCTGGCCCCCAACACTGGTAACCACCATTCTCATTTTTGTCTCATTCTGATTATTGTAGGTACTGCATGCCAGTGTAACCACGCAGTACTCAGACAACTCTCTCAGACTTTTACTACTAGCCAGCCATTGCTGACGGTATTTGTCTGGTTTCCTTGGTTATCACACTGTCACTGATCTGGGGTAAAACTCAATGGAAGGAACATTTTCTGGCCTCTGGAGTTTGGTTTGTTTTAAATTTTTATTTCTTTCTGTGGAGTTGATGGCAGTACTGTGAAGTAAAACCCACCATTTTGGAGCAGGGGATGTTAGCAGACTGTTTGTCTAGCACACATGAAGCTCTGGATTTGATGCTCAGCAGCTCAAGATCACCCTCAGCTATATAGTAAGTTGACCGTGTCTTTAAAACAGGAAACAAGACCCTAACCAAAAGCCTCCAAATGATTCCAACCCCAAAACAACAACAACAAAATCCCAAACCACTATCTTTCATGAGTAACTTTAAAAAAACCCACCCTGTATTAACCTGAAACTTCTGAATGGAATGTGCTGTGGGAGAAAACACATTGGCTTGAATTGGTGTGATAGTCTAGAATCACCTGGGAAGAGCGTCAGTGAAGGATTGTCTAAATCAGGTTGGTGTGGGTTTATCTATGGGAGATTATCTTAATTGCATTGAGAAACCTGCTCACCACAGGTGACACCATTCCCTAGGAAGGAAACCCTGAAGTGCATTAGAGAAAGAAAGCAGAGTACAAGTATATGCCCACTCATCTGCTCTTGACTGTGAATGTACTGTGACAACTTCTCTCAAGGCCCTGATGCATGTATATGAGTGTACCGTGTGCATGTTTGGTGCCCAAAGAAGTCACAGAAGAGGGAACTGGATTCCCCTGGAACTGGAGTTACAGATGGTTGTGAACTGCCTTGTGGGTGCTGGGAACTGAACCCAGGTCCTCTGAAGAGGTGGTGCTCTTAACTGCTGAGTTGTCTCTCCGGCCCCTTTCCAGAATATATTTATCACAGCAATAGAAAAGGAAACTAAGACAGCTGGAAAACAATTATTTGGCAGGATGTTTAGCATGTAAGCTGTATTAAAAATTGAGACCCCCCCAACACCATTCAGTGAGAAGTGAACCTATCACTCTGTTAAACAAGGTGTAAAGAACAACAGACCAAAAACCCACCCTCTTGTAAAAACAGACTGCAGTGCTTTCCCCTGGCTGGCTACCACAGAGGACCTTTCTATAGTCACACTCCATCTCAGGGAAACAAAACACAAGTCTGTAACATTCTAAAACCCAGAACTAATCATGTTTTATAACCTGGGACTAAAGTATACTTAAAAATATGTGTATGTGCCAGGTGGTGGTGGTGCATGCCTTTAATTCTAGCACTCAAGAGGCAGAGGCAGGTGGATCCCTGTAAGTTTGAGGCTAGCCTGGTCTACAAAATGAGTTCCAGGACAGCCAGGGTTGTAACACAAAGAAACTCTGTCTTGAACCCCTACCCATTCCCAAAAAGTGTCTGTATTGTGCAGAAAGGGTCTAGCCATGCTTCTCAGCCTGGCCTTCTGACTCTTGGATTCAAGCTATTCTCCTGCCTCAGCCTCCCAAGTAGGTGGGATGACTGTGGGCATGGTGTACGGCACTGTACCTGACCTTTAAAACACTTCAAATTCTCAGTAGTGCAATAAATGTGTGGTATATTAGTTTGGGGGAGAAAAGCAAGACAAAGAAAGTATTTACAAATTTATTTTTATTTATTTGTGTTGCTTGTTTGCACGTTACACATAGGTGGGTGGGTGGGTGTGGGGAGAGAGCATTGGGTCCCCCGGAATATCAGATGGTGGTGAGCCATCTGAAGTGGATGCTGGGAACTGAACTCTCAGGTCCTTTGGAAGATTGTGATGGCTATCCTTGGCTGTCAACTTGACTACATCTGCAATTAACTAAACCCCAAAAAGGACACACCTGTGGGGGAATTTTGCTCAATTTGAAGTGTAAAGATCCACTTCTAATCTGGATCTTTGAGGTAGGAAGACACACCTCTAATCCCGATCTTCTGAAGTGGGAAGACCTGCCTCTAATCTGGGCCTTGTCTTTTCCTGGGAGCCCAAGTGAAGCCACAGAAGAAAGCTCTTGCTCTTTGCCTGCTTGCTCTTGCCTCACTAGCACATCCATTCCTTCACTGGCTTTAGAGCCTCCTTTTTCAGGATTCCAGCATCTACTGAAGATGAGCTGAGATATCCAGCCTTGTGGACTGAACAAGTACTGGATTTTGGGGACTTTCCATTCATAGGCAGCCACTGTTGGATTATCGAGATCTAGTAAATCCCCTTTCTATACATATAAGGAGAGATTAATTCTATAAGTTCTGTTATTCTAGCAAACTCTACCTAATGGATTCTAGAGAACCCTACTCTTAACTGTGAGCCATTTCTTCAGCTAAAGACATCTAAACAGTAGCTTTGTATGACCATCTTTAACAGCTGATACCTAAGTATGTTTCTGAAATAAACAAAGTAAAAGCATACTGTATATAGTGATCTGAATATCAATAATTTTCTTCTTCTTATAAACTTGAAATTATGGAATTTTTTTCCCATTTATTTGTTGTGGCTCTGTGCACAGTAGGCAAGAGCTTTGCCACAGACCCAAATGTGGTGATACTGTGTTCCCCAAAATATTGTGCACCCTAATAAACTTATCTGGAGCCAGAGAACAAAACAGCCACTAGATATAGAGGCCAGAAAATGGTGGCACACATGCCTTTAATCCTAGGTTTCCAAAGGTAGAGATCTGCCTGGATCTCTATGAGTTCAAAGCCACACTGGAAACAGCCAGGCATGGTAACAAGAGCCTTTAATCCCAGGAAGTGATGGCAGGAAGCAGAAAGGTATTTAAGGTGTGAGGATGAGGAACTAGAGCCCGGTTAAACTTTCAGGCTTTCGAGAAGCAGTTCAGCTGAGATCCATTTGGATAAGGACTCAGAGGCTCCCAGTCTGAGAAAACAGGATCAGCTGAGGAATTGGCAAGGTGAGGTGGCTTGTTCTGCTTCTCTGATCTTCCAGCATTCACCCCAATACCTGGCTCTGGGTTTGTTTTTATTAAAAAGACCATGCTACACCAAAATCCAACCCCCAAATTATACAATGTTCATGTTTATTTCTTCTTTCCTTCCTTTCTTTTTTGAGACAGGGTTTCTCTTCGTAGTCCTGGCTTTCCTGGAACTCATTCTGTAGACCAGGCTGGACTCAAACTTTGAGATTGGACTGCCTCTGCCTCCCAAGTGCTGGGATTAAAGGCATGTGCCACCACTCCCAGTGTATGTTAGTTTTCACTTGGAAACAATAAACATGCTTTTCTTTTATGCAGCTCATTATTTTTTCAGTGCTTACTGTTCCACTCAGGGGCTAGGTCTAATTTTTCAATGCTATTATTCAGCTTAAACTGCTCTACTCAGTTGTCAACAGTAATTAAAATAATATTTTAAAGCAGAGGTCAAAATTATATCAATATACTGACTCAAGACACTACTGAGCAGAGGTCAATATCTGAGCTATAAGACACACATGTACTTATACATATTGGGTTGTGGTGGTTGTTCTTGGTCTTTGCAACTCACATGCACACATAAATTTCATGAGACCGTAACTGGTCCAAGACCTTTCATGTATGTAGAAGAACCCACACCTCTTGTTACAGTGAGACAGAAACAGCTGAACTACATTGTTAAGGTTTTCAAGTAATGTTATGTACAGTTTTATTGCCAGTATATGCACAACAGTAAGCATAGAACTATAAATACACAATGTCATTAACAGTAGAAAACAAAAGTGTTACAGGTAGGAGAGGATATGGAGCAATATCTTTTTCTTCTGCTGGAACAGAACAAAAACAAGGGGAGGGAAAAGCCTACAACCAATCATCCGTCCAGTTCTCTTGGCTTAAGTTCTTTACATACATTTCTACATTGTTTTCAGCTGAACAAAGTATAGATAACTCTGTAACAATAGCAAACTGCTTCCCTAACAGCCATTTGCTTTCCAGTCAAATTCACCTTATGTTAGGATTTAAAAAAAGAAAAAAAAAAAAAAGTCAAGATGAGAAATCAATAGTATCCTGGTTCCAAATTACCTAATTTGGTCTTTTACCCAAACTGGTAATATTTGAAAGTTGGCTGCACATAAAAATAATAGCTTTAGCAGAGGTGATTAAAAAAATGTTAAAAAGTAACAAAACATCACCTTAAAGTAGTTTTCCAAGAAGCTCCAGGCAGCGGGTCAGTTAAAGTGTCAGCCCTGAAGAGGTAGAAAATGGGAGCCCATTGTACAGGGCCCGGCACCATCTTCTCTCTCATCAGGACCAGTGTTTTCATAAGACAATTTCATGGTCAAAGGAAACCAGGTTCCATCATTCAACAAAAAGGTGCTGGTTGACTCCCATGTCAATAATTAGTTTATCAATTGAGAAACAGAGGACAGTCAGACACACATGCACTTGATTTTTTCATCTGTTTCCATTATCAAGTCTATTCATAAGTGAATCTGATATTAATAAATACAACAAAAGCATCATTCACAACAAAGATAAACCAAAAAGCTCTGCAACAAAACCATCCATTTTCCTATTCCCATGGACACCCAGGCAGGTGATTTGGTGCAGCTTTCTTACGGGGTCAGAGAAGGGGCACGGCTTGACATAAAGGTGTTGAGATCAGAACCCACAGACACGCTCAGTCTTACAGAACTGGCTGATTCTAGGACATTTCTCTTTGAGGTCATCCCAAAGAAGTCGCAGCTAATGACACGTACCACCGCCACATCAACAGTCTGGCTGAGTCACAAGTAGCCCTGCTTTGTCTCACGTCATTGTCAATATTTCTAGCATAGGACATGATACGGAACGAAACTCAAGGTAGCAATAAAAATATTCTTCTGCAGTTGAATAAAAGCAAAAAAAAAAAAAGTTTAGACTGTTAAACTTTTAAAGCCTGAAGCATTCCTGTTTAACCAGCATTTTAAAAATGTATACAATCATAACACTGGCAAAGGTTAGTGGGAAGACAAAGAAGTACAAACATGTGAAATGGTGAATTAGATTAAAAAATTACTTTGTACTGATCAACTGATGTTAATACTGCTTTTCCTGAATTTGGAATAATTATCGTAAAGTTACATGCAGACTGAGGACACCCTCTGTTACAGAAAATACAAAACGGAACAAAACAAAAAACTAGAACTGGGAACTGGTAGCTCTGTCCCGAAAGCTGGACTTGAGAGTTTCCTGTCCTGGATGAGGGGGGCAGCTGTCTCTTCGGAGACCTGGGAGGCTCCACCTGCAGCACTAGCCCTGTCCAGCAACATCAGCAGTGGGGTCAGCTCCTGCAGAGCCCGTTTGTGCACGCTTGATGTACAGGTTCAGCAACTTCATCTGTGGATCAAAGCCACAAGCACCATTTGAACCAACTGCTCTACTTATAACGATATGATAAGAAATCACACACACACACACACACACACACACACACACACACACACACACACAAGAATTGAAAGACAGATATATTTGGAGCCATGCTGTCCTCACATTTGATCTGTGCCTGAGGATGATCTTGAACACCTGACCCTCTTGTCTCCATCTAGACTACAGGCGTGCACCATCATGTTCAGTCTATGTGGTGCTGGGGTCTGAACCCAGGGCTTTGAGCACGTTAGACAAGCTGTTGACAACCGAGCCCATGCCTTACCCCTTATGTCTGGTTCTACTCTGTCTTTCTGCAACTTGAAACGTAAATCTGTTCAGGTAAAGACAACTGCTGGGGCTTGGGGAAACTCTGAATGAAGGTAAAGGCCTCCAGTCAGCTGCACTCAGCTACAACTTAACCAGCACTATAGCTCATTCTCATTCTGTAGACAAGAACAAGTTTCAAAGCTCTGGTAATATTAATACAGTAAGACAAACAACCTTGATCTAATTCTTTAAGTCTTAAGGATGAACCAGAAAGTTTTAGTTGAAGATACCAAGTCAAAGTTCCGGGGCTTTTTTTTTTTTTAAATGGTGACTTTGTCTTGTGCTAAGAGTAGAGGCAGCAATGTGTATTCAACTACACAAGGTTGATGGGCATAAAGTGGAACCAGAGAGAGAGGATTTGTAAAGCCTAGTGTCCACTTACCAGTTTAGAAAACGTGGGTGGTGTGACAGATACAGAAAATAACGGGGGGGGGGGGGCTGCCTTGAAAAAGTACAGCTAGATTGAACCACAAAGTTAGAATAAAATAGAAAAAAGGAGAGAATTTGCTTTTGTGAATTATGATCATGAGACACATGGTTAAAATTATGCTCAAAAATACTAATGGGTACAAACTGTAAGTGCAAAGGGCCAAAGTAAGAAGTGGTCTGCTGGATCACAAAGAGGTCCTAGAGGTGGATCTGGGTACTCAGGGGGCGTAGAGGATTTTTGGAGGTAGGAGGTAACTTTGGCCATGGTGGGAATTTCAGTGGACAGGAAGCTACAGTGATGGCGGTGGCAGCCCAGGTGTTATGGGAGAGGTGATGGTGGTCGTTATCGGTGGTCCTCGTTACAGGAAGAGAGGTCATGGTAGTGATGGACAGCAATATGAAAACCACAATGGTGCTTACCATAAAGTTCTGGTTGCTGTAATTATGGTGGGGGTGGGAAATCTAATCAGTCTTGGAAATACAATGGCCAGCAATCATTAAACTATGGACCATGATGAGGGCAGTGTTGGTGGTGGATGCAGTAGTTGGTTTAAGTAACAGGGAGAGTTCTTGGCAGGAGAGAGGAAGCTCTGCAGGGCAGGTGGCCTCGAGACAGCCCTCGCGCACAGGAGATAACTATGAGGCCTGGCACAGAGGCAGCCGTGGGCCACACCAGCAGCACTAGAGCTGCAGCAGGAAGCCCCGTTGGTCACAGTACAGCTACCGACCAATCAGCTTCAAAATGCCCAGGTCTGCCTCTCACAGAAGGCTCTTCTTTCCTCCTCACTGTGTCAGGCACACTGCCTGTAGGTGTGGTAGTGGCACCACAAATAAGTGAGAAACATGCTTGGCGTGGTGGGGCACACCTTTATCCCAGCACTCAGAGGCAGAGGCAGGCGAATCTCTCAGTTCCAGGCTTGCTAGGGTTACATGGTGAAGACTTTGCCTCAGAAAACAAGCAAAACAAAAAATTAAGAAACTTAAAGACAAACAGAGAAAGCAAGTGCTTCTTGCTCAGCCTCTGGGTGCTAGGATCACAGGCGCAAAGGGTGTCTTAATCAAATCTTCAAGCAAAATTTTGAAAAACTTCAAGTGTTCTACATTTTGGGAGAAATAAAGTAATTTGTGAATAACTACAACAATCTGTTCTTAACTAAACTTGTGGAATATTAGTTGAAGATGTGTTACATTCATTTATGCTGTGGAACATTTGTTTAACGATGTACAGATGTGCTCATTCTTTTATGTTGCATTTGTTTAACTCTGTGAAGCTGTGCTACTTTGCCTGTCTAAAACACCTGATGGTCTAATAAAGAGCTGAATGGCCAATAGCTAGGCAGGAGAAAGGATAGGTGGGGCTGGCAGGCAGAGAGAATAAATAGGAGGGTGAAGGGAGGGGGAGAGAGGAGGTGAGGAGGAGAGGGGGAGAGGGGGAGAGGAGGAAGGAGTGAGAAAAGGAAAAGGAAAAGGAGAGGAGGACTCCAGGGGCCAGCCACTCAGCTACACAGCAAGCCATGGAGTAAGAAGTAAAAAAAGGTATATAGAAAGGTAACAGTCCTGAGGTAAAAGGTAGACAGGGTAGAAATAAACCAAGCTAAGGCCAGGCATCCATAAGTAAGAATAAGTCTCCGTGCATTTATTTGAGAGCTGGGCGGCTGGCCCTGAAAGAATGAGAGTAAAAATAAACCAACACCACCAAACAGGCCCCACCTTACAGGCCTGACAGGGAGGTCAGGATGTAAGTGTGGGAATGGGAGTCTGTCAGCTGTTACAAATGACCAGGAGCTCCAGGTATTAACCCCCATCCTACCTCTCTGGTGGTGTTAGTAACTACAGCACAGACCTTAGCAGCAGAAAGAACTGAAAGGCAGTTGGAGGAATAAAGGCAAAGTGAAAACTCAGAGAACTACTTACTAAAAGCTGAGCAGCAAGTTCGCCACATCATGCTGCTACCCGAGAGCCTCCGTACTACTTACTTTACTGCCGGTGAGTTGACTGAGATGAGGCTTTAGTTCATCACCAATCACCGCATGAACAGCTACCAGGCAGAAGACACAAGCTTTCCGGACACTGCTTTCTGAGTTATCGTAACCCTAGGGAAGAGAGGTCATGGGTGTATCTGACAGTTTAGGAAGGCCACCTTGAAGGACAGAAGAGTAACATGACTTCTCACCTGAGGCAACTTTCTACTCTGTAGGCAGGAATGATACAGCTTTCCTCTCTACCCCACCCCACCCCACACTCGACCAGCTGCCAGTGTTCTTAGCACGTTCTTTCTTTAGAAGCTGCAGCCTGCACCTGCCCCTTTCCCAATCCACTTTGCAAACATTCCCAGAGAACCTCCTTAGAGCATGCAGCTCGGAAAGAGTGAGGACCTCCTCACCATCGGATGCTGTGGTTTGGCAGTCAAGGCCTTCCTAGAACCCAGGCCTAGAATGTGTCATGTATGTCTCCTTTTTTTTTTTTTTTTGGTTTTTTGAGACAGGGTTTCTCTGTGTAGCTTTGCACCTTTCCTGGAACTCGATTTGGAGATCCGCCTGGCTCTGCCTCCCGAGTGCTGGGATTAAAGGCATGCGCCACCACCGCCCGGCGTATGTCTCCTCTTTAAATAACCTTCTCAATAAATCCAGGCTAGATAATGCACTTCTCTTATATCTGGATAGTCCATAGAAATCCTATTCATAAGTACTAAATCAATTATCTGAATATATATGAACATGTTACCAAGTAAGAGTCCATTCCTACTAAAGTCATATTAGCTTTCTAAAATTACTGCAAAACAAATATCACACAATATCTTCTGAAAAAATTCATCAAAGACCTAACTATTCAGTTTTGTCATCTTTGTAGAATTATACATTAATTCTTTCCCATTTAGCACAATCCTAATTTCACCACTCTTTAGTACTGCAAATTTAGGCTTCATTTCTATGCTGTGAATGAACCCAGGCTTTGAATATGATGGGGAAATGTACTCTACCACTGAACTGCAAACTCAAGCCTAAATGCTCCAAGTTTAATTCTTCCTACCACCTCTTCCTCTGCAGAC